GTGTGTGTGTGTGTGTGTGTGTGTGTGTGTGTGTGTGTGTGTGACCATCAGATCCATTTGTCAAAGTGTACCTCCTGCAGGATGGGAGAAAGATCAGCAAGAAGAAGACTTCTACAAAACGGGACGACACGAACCCTATCTTTAACGAAGCCATGATCTTCTCTGTCCCGTCCAGCGTCCTGCAGGTGAGACAACAGGTTAAACCTCTGCTGAGCAACAAGTTCATTCACTATCTGTTTTTAATTAGAACGTTTTAAATAGCAAAAACAAAACAAATAATAAAAAACCAATGAAAAGTTAAAATCCCAGTGTTCCTTGAAGACAGACTATCACCATGTGACATCAGGATGACCGTCCCAGCCACATCCTGTGACATGTTGATGTTCAGAGCCTGCTGCAGACTGACACTCAGTCATTTTCAGTAAGCTGCAGCTCTGATAAGGTAAATAAATAAATAAATAAATAAATAAATAAATAAATAAATAAATAAATAAATAAATAAATAAATAAATAAATAAGCTGCAGCCAGTTTGAACTGGGTTGAGTTTTCATGGCACTCGGTTGTAAAGGTTTATGAAGTTTCATTAAAAACAATCTAATGATTCATTAGATATTTTGCTAACAGGTCAATTAACATTTGATGCTCAGCTCCTACCACACCAGATTTAAGTCAACACGTGTTAAACTGACAGAGTTGCAGCAGTTATTTTGTTGGCTGAAGTCGTTCAGCTGTTGTGACAGCTCAAACTGTAGTACTTAAAGTTTGGTTCATGTTTGTCCACAGGTTCATCAGATACTTTTATAAAAGTACGAATATATGAACACAAGCAGAAAACCTGGTAAAAATCTGAAAGCCTTGGTGTTAGACAGAGGTGATACAGTAGAGTTTGATGTTGTCACTGTACTGCGTGTGTTGTGTGTCCCGGGCTGTTGAAGGCACTTCCTGGGTAAAGAAAGGAGCAGTAAACTGGTTGAAGATAAACCATAAAATAAACATTAGTGAAGAGTGTAAATAATTGTATAAGATCTGCCACTCATTTTAATTAGCTGTATATTTAGTTTTGTTAAATGTTTCCTGTTTTTATTCTCTTATCTGAGAAGGATGTTTGACCTCATGATTAGACTAGAAGACCTGTGTGTGTGTGTGTTTGTGTGTGTGTGTGTGTGTGTGTGTGTGTGTGTGGTGGGGGGGGTTCCTACAATTTGGGGACAATTTTCCCAAAAAAGCAGCCTCGTGGCGACCGAAGTGAATCGTGGGGACCAGTGCCAGGACCCCATGTGTCCAAATGCAAATTATGAGTGTGGAGTTAGGTTTAGGACCAAGGTTTAGGTTAGTTTTAGGGTCAGGTAGGTACCTGTGAGGTTAATGTTAGAGTATATGGTCAGGGTTAGGATATAGTAGTACCAAAAAATAAATGGAAGTCAATGCACAGTCCCCATGGCGTTCAAGAACAAACGAGTGTGTGTGTATACTTGTTTTTTTTTTTATTATTATTTAGGACTGTTTCCAGTATACACACCTACCTTGTCAAGACCAGTAGTCCTAATGGGGACCAAAGACCAGTCCTAATTTGGTGGAACATCATTTTTGGGTTNGTTTCCAGTATACACACCTACCTTGTCAAGACCAGTAGTCCTAATGGGGACCAAAGACCAGTCCTAATTTGGTGGAACATCATTTTTGGGTTTGGGGTTGTGTTTAGGACCAAGGTGTGAACTGAGTTTGTGTTAGATTTAGGCTGAGGTAGGTACCTGTGAGGTTAGGGTTATGTAGGGGAACTTGTGGAGTCAGCTGTTCCAGTTGGAGACAGTATGTGTTGATTTGTAGGTGCTGTAAGATGTAGTGGAATATGGCTGCAAATTCCAGTGAGTGTAGGTGTTCTGTTTGAGTAGAACTCAGCTCAGAGTGTTTGTCATGCGCTCATTAGAGAGGGAGGAGAGTTCAGAGGAGGGTGAGAGTTAGGGGAGGGGTCAGGAATGGTTGGGGGTGTGGTCTGGTAGGTGTATATAGGAGGTTTACAGTGGGGTTAATCTAATCAAAAGAAATGTTTGATTATTTAGAAGAATTCATTCTGATGACTGTTTACAGTTCACTGAGGTTAGACTTAGTATTATGTTCTGGTTTAGGTGTATATTTTGTTATTAATAATCTACAGGTCCTTTTCAAAAAAAATTAGCATATTGTGATAAGGTTAATTATTTTCTGTAATGTACTGATAAACATTAAATTTTCATATATTTTAGATTCATTGCACACCAACTGAAGTAGTTCAAGCCTTTTATTGTTTAAAATTGATGATTTTGGCAAAAAAGTAAAGAAAAATCAAAAATCCCTATCTCAAAAAATTAGCATATTTCATCCGACCAATAAAAGAAAAGTGTTTTTAATACAAAAAAGATCAACCTTCAAATAATTATGTTCAGTTCTGCACTCAATACTTGGTGGGGAATCCTTTAGCAGAAATGACTGCTTCAATGCGGCGTGGCATGAAAGTCACATATAGAGTATATCAGACAAAAAATATCAAAATTGGTTGCAATCATTTTTAAAACCAAAGAATTGTTAAATAGAAGTTGTCTGCATACACTTTATTTTTCACTTGTAGTACCATATATGTCCTGTTGTGTAGAGGTTTGGGGTAATATTTATAAAACCAATATAGATCCAATAGTTAAACTTCAAAAAAGAGTAATTAGATTAATAAATATACTGGGTTTTTTGATTCCACAAACCCACTATTCTTGAATTCTTCTGCTTTAAAGTTTAGTGACTTAGTAAATTTAAAAACACTAGAGTTACTATATCATGTAAGAATAAATAGTCTTCCTGATGGTATTCAAAGATTTTTTAAGTTACGGGGAAAATAATTATTATTTAAGGTGGTTCTTTATTTTTGAAGTACTTAAAGTAAGAACAAATATCAAATACAGATGTGTTTCAGTATTTGGTGTTAAGTTGTGGAATAATTTAAATGATGAAATTAAGTTTAGTGACTCCCTTTTAAGTTTCAAAAAGAAGTTAAAAAGTAAATTAATTATGAGGTATGGTTTAAAGTAGTCAGTTGTGATGATGGTAATATATTACATATTTGTTTTGCATGTGCGGACAATAATAATGATATTGTTGATAAAAAACAGTATTAATCATTTGCATATAACCAGGATGTAGCTGAAGTATATGTGTGTGTTTTTTTGTGTATTTTGTTTTGGGGAATCCATTATGAATTGTAAGGTGAGGCAAAACAAGCCATTGGCTTCTGCCTCTACCTGTTTGGTCATACAGGTTAAAGCTTTGTTTGTTTTTGTGTGGAGTGTGCTTTAATGTGACCAAATAAAATCATTCATTCATTCATTCATTCATTCATTCATTCATTCAGGTACAGGAACACGTCTCCACACCTGCGTGTGTAACCATGTGTTGCTGTTTGCAGGAACTCTCTCTGAGGGTGACGGTGGCAGAGGCCACTGACGATGGGCGGGGGGAGAACCTGGGTCATGTGATCATCGGGCCTGAGGCCAGTGGGATGGGCATCACTCACTGGAACCAGATGCTGGCCACTCTGAGGAAGCCTGTGTCCATGTGGCACCCTCTGCGCAGGATCTAGTTGTGTCTGCAGAGCCCTGAGTACCACTCAGACCACTCGTCCATGTTGAACTCTTGTCTGGATGTGTTCTAATTATTTAACATTGTGACCAACAGAGTGTCAGCACCTCGTCTTCACACATGAGGGGAGCTAAAACGCCCCTGATGGGTTCTGAAGGTGTGTAATTATTCTCCTGTAAATTACTCATTCTCTCCACGGTTGTGTGGGAGTCAGTTTTTTTTAGAAGAAAAACATGTTTTCATGTGTGTGAACTGATTCATGTTGAACTTTTGGAACAATGGAGGTAAAAACGAAGCTCGTCTTCAGCAGGTGCAGACAGTCAGGTGTGTGAGGGGCCGGCTGCTTGGAGCTGCCACCTCTGGACGAAGGACTGACGTGGCTTCTCTATCAGGAAAACTCATTTATTTCTCTTTTGTTCTTTGATTCATTAGAATGTGGACTTTGAGCCGAAGCAGGTAAATTCTGGAGGTTTTGATGTGTTCGGTCTTCATTGTGCTTCTGAAAATATCCAGGTACTCTTATCCAGGTGAAAAATACAATTGTAATTTGTAGCAGCTGTTGCAGGGAGGCCTAATCAGTTAAAATCATCACAATAACAACATTGTTCTATTTTTAATGCAATACTTGTTGCATATTTGAGACTGTAAATAGTACTGTAGTTAAAGGGATAGTCTGGTCAGTTCTCGTGCAGAAATCCAGGCTAGGCTAACAGCTAACAGGCTGCTAATGACTGGTTAACAAACAGCAACAAACCAAGGAAATATTGTCATGAAAAGGTTTTAATATTCACTAATATCTTTCTTTCACACCAGAAAGTTTTATTTCATAAGGTAGAAAAAAGGATATAAAACTACAGGTGCTGGTCATGAACTTAGAATATCATGAAAGACTTGGTTTATTTCAATAATTCTATTCAAAAAGTGAAACTTTTAATTTTTTATTCATTCTTTACACAGACTGATATATTTCAAATGTTTATTTCGTTTAATTTTGATGATTACAAATGACAACAAATGAAAATCTCACATTCAGTACCTGATAAAAATAGAAAATTACTCTTCTAATTTTATGACTTTAAAAATGACCAGGCTATCCCTCTAACATGTTGTCGTTTTCCTTCTGAATTTTTGATGCAAATCCTGTTTTTCACAGTGTATGTAATAAAAGACACCTAACTTTAATCACATTGTATTTATCATAGATGTCATCACTGATCAGTCGGCTGTAACACAAACACCTCTGGGAGTTGACGTGGTGTAAATTACTAACTCTTTTATACAAGTTTAGTTAGATTTTCTGAGTCTGTGGCTGTGTTTCTGTGGAAACTGTCTTTTATTAAAGTCCATTAAGCTTCTGTTAAACGCAGTGAAAATATAATTAAAATAGTTTTCACCTAAAATACCAACAGCATCCTGTAAAGCTCAGAATGAGGAGGAGGCTTTTTAATCTCTACAGGATTGTGCAGTCGTGTTTTGTTGTGACTTTCTGAATGTGACTTCAGTGAATCGAGCCCTCAGAGCACCATCAGCCTCCTACATGTCTTCAGTTAAAGCAGAACCAGTTGCACACGTTGGTCACGTTCTGACTGCCTTTCTCACCTCACTTTTAGAACCGATCCAAAAATAACACACTTGTGGTATAATATCAAATGTTTCCTATTGTGCCAAATAATAAAAAGCAATATTTTCATTTTCAGTCACCGTTTGCATTAACGAAGCTGTAGCTCACATTGGACCATGCATGAAGGTGTTTGGCACTTTATGTGAATGTGCCTCCAGAATACAGTGTATTGTGTGAATGCTGTTTCAAATAAAAGCAGTTCAACAATCAGACTGAACATGTGACCTTCTGCTTACTGAGAATGAGAAACATTTTACTTTCTTTTTAGAAAAGTACCCGTGAACGTTGGTCGATCTAAACAAACACAAATATGGCCAAAGGGCAACAAGTGGCCTTTAGTCTACGTTAATCTGGCCCTCAATGTCCTCCAACAATTATAACCTAAACTTATTAATAAAGGACCAGATAAATTATACGGTGGCTTTTTATCTGTTTTAAAAGACAAAATAGACAGAAAACAGGACAAAAAACACTCACATTTTGCCTGTTTTAACCAATAGTTGTCTAAATGATCTCCTCCACAAGTAAATTTACAAGCTATGCTAAGAGAATGCTGAACACTGGACCAGCTCTACACCCTCAGCAGGGTCCTGGAGGGTGCATGGGAGTTCAACCAACCGGTCTACATGTGTTTTGTGGATTTGGAGAAGGCGTTCGACCGTGTCCCAAGGGGGGCCTTGTGGGGGGTTCTCTGGGAGTATGGGGTACCGGGCCACTTGATACGGGCTGTCAGGTCCTTGTACGACCGGTGTCAGAGTCTGGTCCACATTGCCGGCAGTAAGTCGGGCCCGTTTCCGGTGAGAGTTGAACTCCGCCAAGGCTGCCCTTTGTCACCGATTCTGTTCATTACTTTCATGGACAGAATTTCTA